CGTTTTCACGCTGTTTCATAATTGTACCAAGAAGGAAATAAACATGATTGTGAACATCAGTTCGATGCGTAACGTTCTTTCAAGACCAAGTTACAGTGTGTGTACCTTTGCGTTTGGTTGCTGGTAAGGGGGGGCGAGCTAGCGCTGTGATCTAGAATGCAAAGCTCGCTTGTTTCCAATCCCGAGAGTTGTCCATCCTCGCCTGAAACACACGATTAGTGCCATGAGTTAGTGAAGCAAATTACAGAAACACTGCACAGTTATTCACAAGTCAAAACGTTTTCATAGCGGCCGAGAATATCTAGCTAGCTAGATGTAGCTAGCTCGGGGCCGGTGTTAGCCTATTATGGCTAGCATGGCTAGCTTGATCTACTGAGCAAATAAAAGTACATCTGAGACCATTATTGTGCAGATTAAAACCCCAGTGCATGTAGTTGATTTTACCTTCGTCGTGGTCGTCATCGTTGCCCGAGTTTCTTTATTTTTAGCCGGTGTGCCGTGGGGCTGTGCACAATTCCCAGGTCGAGTGAAAGCTACTGAACTGGCTTCAGTAGCATTCCCTGGGTCGCGTCCTCGGCGTAGATCTCCAGAAGCGCCGACACCTCCTCATCATTTCTTGATGCTTGCCATAACTGCTTTCAAAAACAACTCCGTCGGTCCGCTGGGTTTTCGTAGCGAGGAAAAACAATGGCGGCTCTACAAAACATTTTCACAGTTTACGGGCGTGGTTTGCAATTCGCCCAGCCAATCAGCACTGGGGCACTTTTCACCCACAGGAAAGTACGATCTCTCAGCGGGCTCTAAAAATGGGGGTAAAAGTTCCCGAGATTAAGTACGATTTTTGGTGTGAACGCGACATAAGGGGTACTAACGGAACTAAACGCGAAAAGTACGGTGAAAAGTACTCCGGTGTGAACGCGGCTAATATCAAGCCACACTTATTGTTTTTTCTTCGGCTGTGAGTGTTTGTGTGCTCAGGATGAGCTTCACCAGGGACGTGCACAGACATTTGGAGGGGCTATTGCTCTAAACTGGACAAAGGGCCTCTCCCTCGAAAAAAAAACATAAGACCTTTTGAAAATTCGAACTTGTTTTTAACGTAAAAGGTTAATAAAATAAAAACTCAACACGGTCATTGCAAGTGACTCTCAGTTGACTTTTATGTGCAACTACTAAATTCATCATTCAGGCACATTTTTTGTTTTGCGGTCCATATCTCATTAAAGTATCTAATGTTAGTAACTATTAAAGAACAAATGGGGTTCTGTTTTAATGTAGTTTGCCCTTTGTACCTGCTGTGCAGACACTCTGATAACATAGGGCTTTAACTACTTACCTTAAATAAACTCACTAGTTAATGAAACCAGTTCAATACGCATTATTCTTATTCTTATCATTCTTTATGAGCGCTTCTTTATTACTTATTTATTTAGTATTCCATAATTTAATAACAGAGATGGTCAAATGTAAAGTAGAGACATAAATCCTACAATGAAGCGGGACAGTGAAGTGTCCTCTGTGAGAGGGCGATCAAGAGAAGAGAGGGAGTGGCCCGTTGAGGGAGTTTACAGACGGAAAGACACAGAAGCACAATAACAAGTATATTTAGGTGTATTTTTTGTAAATAACCGACGGTGTCAAGAGGAAGTGAAGTCCCCTGGTTTGTCCCCTATACTCTAACTGCAATGAGAAAACTCAAAATCAATATAAGCATATTTAAAAACGGGACAGATTGACCCGGGGATTGGCCTCCAAAACCAGGCAGGCACATGATCACCATCGCCGTATGAAGCCGGACTCGGAGGGCTTTCCTTTGCTATCAGCTGTCAGATTGTAAACAAAGTCACGTGACTGGGGACAGAGGACAGCGCTGACGAGGTGTGCTTCCCGCAGCGAGACGCTACTAATTGTGGGCTTATCATGTCGATTCGGCCACAAAAAAAATTCTCGCCCTCTCCAGAGTGGCAGGTCAGCCAAAAAGGGCAAACGGGCTGTTGCCCGGGCAACATTAGCCCGTACCTGTGCACGTCCCTGAGTTTCGCGCTGTCCCGCTGTATCGCCGACCCGGAAACCACACCAGTAAGCCAGATCATTGAGCAGCGAGCCTCGCAACGTCCAGACCAATCAGAGCACAGTGGGCTCACGGGGGGGGGGGGGGGCAGGAGCTCCAACAAGCCGTATAGGACAGAGCGTGAATACACAGACTATACCAGAGTTCCCGTTAGCCGGTAATTACCGGACTATGACCGGTAAAATATGCTGAAGACCGGCAAATCTAAATCTCTCCGGTCAAAATGTCCGGTCAAAATAATTTCCCTTTAGCACAATACCGCATCAGTTGCGCCACTTACGTGACAGACAAGAAGAGTCAATTCTAATGTCTAACACGTGGAGAAAGAGATGTCCTGTATGGGTTGATTGTGCGTTGATCTGTTGGTAATGCCTCTGGGTTCCGGTGGGCATGTAAACAAATGCATAATGCTGCGCTATACTTTGCGGCCTCACCCGGTTGCATAGCGACGCTTATTGTTGAGGTGTCTTTTAATAAGCAGGTAGTCATATCATTAGCTAGAACTAGCTAGATCTGATCGATATGGACATAAACGCGAGTGAAGTCTAATCTGACGAGTCGACACGCAGCTCTGCATGATCACCTGCAGCGGTGAGCAGAGCAACACACACTTCAGGTTAGAATATCACGTAGTTATTTTAATGACCTCTCAAACTACCGTAACTAGTTATAGATATGTTTAGTTTGACTGTCGGGTCACTCATTACTGGATCTGCGAGCTGCATGATACTGACGGGCTGTCAGGAGAGAGCGCTCCGTTTATTATTCCCGTGTTTTTGTAAGTTACTGAACACTTTTGAATAATGTAGTTAATCTACTATAATTAGTTTGTTTAATATCGAATCATATCAATTTGTTTAAAAGCTCAATAAATAAGAAGACCTTTGACCGGCACTTTTCTCATTTTGTCCGGAAGATTTCAACTTTAACGGACATGTTGACCGGCAAAAAAATATTCTAACGGGAACTCTGTACTATACAGAGATGCTGTATGAGAAACCAATGTGAGTTTGGAACATTGAACAATATAAATCTATTCTAGTAGACCTCAACTATGGAATTATGATCAGTAGAAATGGCCATGACATGAGACCTTTAAACAAACAGTTCATATATACATTTTACTTATGACAATAGAACAGATTTAGAAACAACAGAAAAATAGAAAGCTATATATCTATGGCGTACAGTACACATTATAAAATACACATTATAAAAACATACAGAATAATAAAAAAAAAACACTAGTAGACTAACCTACTATACTACTTCTAAATCAAATATAAACATAGGACATACAGAATATAAAGTGTGCAAAGTAGTTGCCGTTTTAAATACAATGATGACAACTTTGAGTAAATTATAAACAATTCTTCAGGGTTATTGGAGGGAAGAACTCCACAACCTTCAACATCCAAGCAAGTTGTGTGACATTTTCCCAGATGGCCAATAGATGTCTTAACTAGTTTATTGTTCGGCCTCCATTAGCGTGACTTACAATAGAACAAGTTACTTGGCAGCGTCTCATGTTGGTTTGATCTGAAGGATAATGACTCCTGAAGGCACGTCTGAGAGAGTCGGCTCTTTAAAGCAAAATGTCCCTTTTTTAAACCCTAATTCACAATGTGTATCTTCAATGTGAAATGCTTTAATGGTGCTTGCAGGATTCTTGCTGTTCTGGGTTTGGATCCTCTTGGTTGATTTAGACTTATTGTAAATTGTGGACAAGATATTGAACCCTAAATTGGTGTGTGTGAGTGTGTGTGAAGTCTTCCTGATCAGGTGGCAACTTGTATGGCAGCCAGTGTCTATAAACGTCATGTTGGGAGAATCATGACTTGTTTATGTAGAAGTGCTTTGAGGGTTTGCACAAAATGGAAAAACACTGTATAAATGTACTATGATTTCAAATTGAAGTTTAAAATTCCTAAGCTTAAGAAGCTACTGGTTGTACTGCATGTTATTGATAGCATGTATTGAGCTATCAGTGTAGCGTAAAGTACTGAGGAGGATACAAATGTGCTGGAAAGTGTGTGTGAACTCTTTTATCTGGTAACCAGTAGCAACACACCCACAGAGTCATGAGTAGGTGATGGTCTGACTCTGAACGCAGTGTGTCTGCGCTGGCTTATTGACCACCTGATGCCTTATATAGACACGAGGAGAGCGTTCTGGAAGCTGATTGGTTCACACCGACTGACACACACACACACATTCTATCACCCTCACACACACTCTCTCTGTCTCCCTGTAAGCAGATCTGAGAGCAGCTGCTGGGTGTCACTCTATAGAAGCAGCTGGACCATGTGCTGCTGCTGCTGCTGCTGCTGTTGTTGTTGTTGTTGTTGTTGTTGTTGTTGTGGTCCAACACTTGGGATGTTAAGAGAACGGAAACATAGTGCCAAGTCGTTCCGAAAACGTCACAGTATTTATTTTTCTGCAGTACCGTCAGAGCTCAAGACTAATATTATCACAGGGATGGTAGAACATGTAGTCACGTGTTGTTATAGTATCCAGCTGATTGTGTTCACGAGTCATTCTTCCACATTTACTACACGCCTGTTAGCTTTCCAGCTCGGACAAGAAACTGTTCGTAGCACTTGCACTGGTTTGGATTATCCAGAGCTAATGTGCCTGCAGGGTTCTTCCTTTGCGAGTTTGTATAGTAGCTTTAGGAAAAAGCATCAGCTAAATGAAATGACTGAATCTTGATGTTGCAGGAGGGCTCCTTGATATTGTATAAATGTTCCCTTTCTCTGGTGGTCATAACAAACTGCATTTCTTTGGGTTTTGGACTGAAAAACAAGACCTCTAAAGATGAGTCTCATGAACTTTGAGAGACAGCTTTTACTGTGTTCAATGTTTAAAAAGCAGATGTAAGTTGCAGCCCTATTTGTTAAACTAATGTCTGTATTTATCTGTGTTCCAGTCTTGAGGGGGAGGAGCCAGAAGAGACACGGTGTTTGTTTCTGTTTCCTGTCTGGGAGGAAACAGCAAACGTCTGAGAAATGTGAAACTGAAGAATCGGAGGAGCTGTCACTCAAAACAGGACCACACCCCCACCATCCCCATCAGCCAATCAGCACGCAGTCTGAAGGTAAACGTACACAACTTGATTTTCTAGCTTCAAAAGGAAAAAAGTCGACTGACTCCCAAGGTGCATTTCACTCAATCAATCAATCAATCAATCAATCAATGTTCTGGGATCACTTGTAATAATGGTGACCATCTTTCAACACACTGTATGTTTCAAACTGTCATTCTGTTGCGTTTTCTCCATGGCTTTAACATGTTCCACCTCCATGGCTTTAACATGTTCCACCTCCATGGCTTTAACATGTTCCACCTCCATGGCTTTAACATGTTCCACCTCCATGGCTTTAACATGTTCCACCTCCATGGCTTTAACATGTTCCACCCTGCCTCTCCATGGCTTTAACATGTTCCACTTCCATGGCTTTAACATGTTCCACCTCCATGGCTTTAACATGTTCCACCGTGCCTCTCCATGGCTTTAACATGTTCCACCTCCATGGCTTTAACATGTTCCACCTCCATGGCTTTAACATGTTCCACCTCCATGGCTTTAACATGTTCCACCTCCATGGCTTTAACATGTTCCACCTCCATGGCTTTAACATGTTCCCCCTCCATGGCTTTAACATGTTCCCCCTCCATGGCTTTAACATGTTCCACCTCCATGGCTTTAACATGTTCCACCTCCATGGCTTTAACATGTTCCACCTCCATGGCTTTAACATGTTCCACCTCCATGGCTTTAACATGTTCCCCCTCCATGGCTTTAACATGTTCCACCCTGCCTCTCCATGGCTTTAACATGTTCCACCTCCATGGCTTTAACATGTTCCCCCTCCATGGCTTTAACATGTTCCCCCTCCATGGCTTTAACATGTTCCACCTCCATGGCTTTAACATGTTCCACCTCCATGGCTTTAACATGTTCCACCTCCATGGCTTTAACATGTTCCCTCTCCATGGCTTTAACATGTTCCACCTCCATGGCTTTAACATGTTCCACCTCCATGGCTTTAACATGTTCCACCTCCATGGCTTTAACATGTTCCACCTCCATGGCTTTAACATGTTCCACCTCCATGGCTTTAACATGTTCCACCTCCATGGCTTTAACATGTTCCACCTCCATGGCTTTAACATGTTCCACCTCCATGGCTTTAACATGTTCCACCTCCAATGGCTTTAACATGTTCCACCTCCATGCTTTAACATGTTCCACCTCCATGGCTTTAACATGTTCCACCTCCATGGCTTTAACATGTTCCCCCTCCATGGCTTAACATGTTCCACCCTCCATGGCTTTAACATGTTCCACCTCCATGGTTTAACATGTTCCACCTCCATGGCTTTAACATGTTCCACCCTGCCTCTCCATGGCTTTAACATGTTCCACCTCCATGGCTTTAACATGTTCCCCCTCCATGGCTTTAACATGTTCTACCTCCATGGCTTTAACATGTTCCCCCTCCATGGCTTTAACATGTTCCACCTCCATGGCTTTAACATGTTCCCCCTCCATGGCTTTAACATGTTCCCCCTCCATGGCTTTAACATGTTCCACCCTCCATGGCTTTAACATGTTCCCCCTCCATGGCTTTAACATGTTCCACCTCCATGGCTTTAACATGTTCCCCCTCCATGGCTTTAACATGTTCCACCTCCATGGCTTTAACATGTTCCACCTCCATGGCTTTAACATGTTCCCCCTCCATGGCTTTAACATGTTCCACCTCCATGGCTTTAAACATGTTCCCCCTCCATGGCTTTAACATGTTCCACCTCCATGGCTTTAACATGTTCCACCCTGCCTCTCCATGGCTTTAACATGTTCCACCTCCATGGCTTTAACATGTTCCACCTCCATGGCTTTAACATGTTCCCTCTCCATGGCTTTAACATGTTCCCCCTCCATGGCTTTAACATGTTCCCCCTCCATGGCTTTAACATGTTCCCTCTCCATGGCTTTAACATGTTCCACCTCCATGGCTTTAACATGTTCCCCCTCCATGGCTTTAACATGTTCCACCCTGCCCTCTCCATGGCTTTAACATGTTCCCCCTCCATGGCTTTAACATGTTCCACCTCCATGGCTTTAACATGTTCCCCCTCCATGGCTTTAACATGTTCCACCTCCATGGCTTTAACATGTTTCCCCCTCCATGGCTTTAACATGTTCCACCTCCATGGCTTTAACATGTTCCCCCTCCATGGCTTTAACATGTTCCACCTCCATGGCTTTAACATGTTCCACCCTGCCTCTCCATGGCTTTAACATGTTCCACCTCCATGGCTTTAACATGTTCCACCTCCATGGCTTTAACATGTTCCCTCTCCATGGCTTTAACATGTTCCACCTCCATGGCTTTAACATGTTCCACCTCCATGGCTTTAACATGTTCCACCTCCATGGCTTTAACATGTTCCACCTCCATGGCTTTAACATGTTCCACCTCCATGGCTTTAACATGTTCCACCTCCATGGCTTTAACATGTTCCACCTCCATGGCTTTTAAACATGTTCCACCTCCATGGCTTTAACCATGTTCCACCTCCATGGCTTTAACATGTTCCCCCTCCATGGCTTTAACCATGTTCCACCTCCATGGCTTTAACATGTTCCACCTCCATGGCTTTAACATGTTCCCCCTCCATGGCTTTAACATGTTCCACCTCCCATGGCTCTAACATGTTCCACCTCCATGGCTTTAACATGTTCCACCTCCATGGCTTTAACATGTTCCACCCTGCCTCTCCATGGCTTTAACATGTTCCACCTCCATGGCTTTAACATGTTCCCCCTCCATGGCTTTAACATGTTCTACCTCCATGGCTTTAACATGTTCCCCCTCCATGGCTTTAACATGTTCCACCTCCATGGCTTTAACATGTTCCCCCTCCATGGCTTTAACATGTTCCCCCTCCATGGCTTTAACATGTTCCACCTCCATGGCTTTAACATGTTCCCCCTCCATGGCTTTAACATGTTCCACCTCCATGGCTTTAAACATGTTCCCCCTCCATGGCTTTAACATGTTCCACCTCCATGGCTTTAACATGTTCCACCTCCATGGCTTTAACATGTTCCCCCTCCATGGCTTTAACATGTTCCACCTCCATGGCTTTAACATGTTCCCCCCTCCATGGCTTTAACATGTTCCACCTCCATGGCTTTAACATGTTCCACCCTGCCTCTCCATGGCTTTAACATGTTCCACCTCCATGGCTTTAACATGTTCCACCTCCATGGCTTTAACATGTTCCCTCTCCATGGCTTTAACATGTTCCCCCTCCATGGCTTTAACATGTTCCCCCTCCATGGCTTTAACATGTTCCATCTCCATGGCTTTAACATGTTCCACCTCCATGGCTTTAACATGTTCCCCCTCCATGGCTTTAACATGTTCCACCCTGCCTCTCCATGGCTTTAACATGTTCCCCCTCCATGGCTTTAACATGTTCCACCTCCATGGCTTTAACATGTTCCCCCTCCATGGCTTTAACATGTTCCACCTCCATGGCTTTAACATGTTCCCCCTCCATGGCTTTAACATGTTCCACCTCCATGGCTTTAACATGTTCCCCCTCCATGGCTTTAACATGTTCCACCTCCATGGCTTTAACATGTTCCACCCTGCCTCTCCATGGCTTTAACATGTTCCACCTCCATGGCTTTAACATGTTCCACCTCCATGGCTTTAACATGTTCCCTCTCCATGGCTTTAACATGTTCCCCCTCCATGGCTTTAACATGTTCCCTCTCCATGGCTTTAACATGTTCCCCCTCCATGGCTTTAACATGTTCCCCCTCCATGGCTTTAACATGTTCCACCCCTGCCTCTCCATGGCTTTAACATGTTCCCCCTCCATGGCTTTAAACATGTTCCACCTCCATGGCTTTAACATGTTCCCCCTCCATGGCTTTAACATGTTCCACCTCCATGGCTTTAACATGTTCCACCTCCATGGCTTTAACATGTTCCCCCTCCATGGCTTTAACATGTTCCACCTCCATGGCTTTAACATGTTCCACCTCCATGGCTTTAACATGTTCCACCTCCATGGCTTTAACATGTTCCCTCTCCATGGCTTGAACATGTTCCCTCTCCATGGCTTTAACATGTTCCACCCTGCCTCTCCATGGCTTTAACATGTTCCACCTCCATGGCTTTAACATGTTCCACCTCCATGGCTTTAACATGTTCCTCCTCCATGGCTTTAACATGTTCCACCCTGCCTCTCCATGGCTTTAACATGTTCCACCCTGCCTCTCCATGGCTTTAACATGTTCCACCTCCATGGCATGATGTTCCTATCTTACCTGTTATCATTTGTGTTGCTATTTGAACCCAAAGAACAGGTTGTAACCCAAAGCTCAGCGAGAGGAGCTCACAGAGTCTGTAGTTGGTAGGATAACGTCACTAATGATGTAACTGAGTCTTGGTATGAAAAGTGACTCATTGCAGTTACACAATCCTCCATGAAGCCCCTCGAAACTCCCCTTTAAACACCAAACTGCAGCAGAGACCTGCAGCGGGATTCAGCCCCGACATGTTTCACAGCCTTATATCATCTGGTGTAACGTCGCATACAACATGCAGCCAGATGTCACTCAGGCAGCAGGGGAACTCTCCTTTCACACGTTTTGTAAGAAGAATTGAACAACCAGGAAACAAAGGCTGTGTTTTGTTGACAGTATATATTAAACCCTAAAGGAAATAACTTGTGTAAAGAGAAACCAGAAAGGGTTTGCAAAGACATCAAAGGTAAATGTCACTTCTCTGGTTTTACCTCCGAGTATCGACTTTTAAATGTGAAGGATATTGAGTTTGAAAACGTGCACGATGCTGCAGGCGAGTCCTCGTCACTGCAACTGGAAACAATTAGGATTACACAACCTGAAGCCAGAGAGGCCAATCAGAGCCAGACACACAGAGGTCAGAGGTCAGAGGTCACACACAGCTATCACTATAAAGTCAAAGGAGATATCTGCTTTATCTCACATGTTAAAATGTCTAATGTGAACACGGAGAACACAACACATGATAGGCTAAGGGGCGGGAC